AGAACTTGCAAAGTCACACGGTGTTCAAATACTTATTTTCTTCACTGTATCTAATGATGAAACGGCTGAAGACTCCACGACTGCCACCAAAAATAGAGCTGCATTTAAAAGAAAATTCAAAGTCCAACCTAAACTGTGGGTTCATCACAACAAGCGAGTCCCACACTCTGTGTAGTATGTGGAGACCGATGACCCAATGAAGCCCTGAAACCTTCAGAACTTCTTCACCACATGGAGACCAAGCACCCTTCATTAAAAGACGAGACTGAAGGTTTTTGAAAAGAAAAAGTGAATATGAACATCAGAAACTATTACTGAAGGCTGCACTGACAGCATGTATTTAGTGGCCAACTGCATTGCTAAGGAGTTGTATTAAATAATATATTAAATAAATCACAAAGTGATATAAATGAAATATCATAATCTAAAATTATAACTTTAATTATAGGTGTAATGATAAAATGATACATCATGCACTTTGTGTTATGTGCATGACCACCCCTCACACCAACACTCCTGCTGCTGGTCCACTGAAAAGTTGTCTTGTCGTTGGTGCAACAAAGGTTGGGGACCCCTGCACTAAACAACCTGCCAACCCACCAGACCCCAGAGTGGTGCTCCTCACACCCATCTTTTAAGGCAATCAAAACCCTTAAAATTGATCCAGTAAAAGGAAATGATGGGTCTCTTTGATAAACAATTGGGCTATTTAGTCAAAACGCAAAGCTGTGGTCCGAACATCCCAGACAAAAAGAGTAATTCAGCTTCACAAAGCTCTGGCTGCTCTGACTGTACTCCATCATGTCTCCTTATCTGGGTGTGACGAGTGCCACTCTGAGTAGAAACCTCATGTTGTCGTCAGGTCCTCTCAGACTTGCAGGTGGATTTTTATGTTAAACTGACTCGACACTGCTTAGCCACAGTTTGCTGCCAACTGTCCTCATAAACCGATTCAGCATCATTTCTGAAGGCCGTTCTCACATTTGAGTCGTTCCCTGAAATTTGATGAAATAATTGTCTAGAATGGGTGAGGGTGTTCAGTACAGTAGCTTAGACAGCAGCTAAATGTTAAGACCTAATCTCTGTAATGGAGTAGCCACTAAGGTGTTGGTTGTAATAAAGTAACTTACTAGTTCAGAGTACAGTAGTACCTCGATTATCACGGGGGTTACGTTCCACACACCACCGTCATCGGTGAAAAACGGTGAAGTAGGAACGCTAAATTTTAGTATTTATATTTTAAGGCTTTATAAACCCTTCCCACACTCTTACAATGTTCTAAACTCTTAAACCTACATTATTTTAACAACACATGTATATGTACTGTACAGTACTGCAAAAATTTTTACTCACCAGCTCTGCAGAACAGAAGCTCCATTCTGATTTGCGACTTTCCTGCCAGTTCTGAGTTTAATAGATAGATCGTTACTTCTGACTTTGCATTGCAAAACTTTCCTTCCAATTCGACAGAAATAAGCGGCTGGAAGCACCGTTGGCTTCTGGGTAGTGTAGTTCTTTTGACTGGTGTTGCAGTGTAGGCTTATTGAAAGAAAATGACAAAATGGTGGCACCTGTTCAAATGTTTGTTTTTCCTTTACCTTTTTATCCCGTACCGTCCCAACCACGTGAGTAATATTAAAGTTGACAATCGTTGAAAAACCACGAAAGCGAGTCCACGAAAGTCTACCTGTGAGGTAGCGGGAAATTACTGTACTACGTTTCTTACTGCTTGCCCTGTTCTAGAGAAGTCTACTGTATTTTTCGCCTACAAGTCATGTTTTTTTTTTTTTTCATAATTTGCATGCCCTGCGACTTATACGCTGAAGCGACATATTTATGGATTTTTTCCTCATTTATAAACCAATTTTTGGCTGAGATATGACCGTTTTCATTCATTCTGACTGAAAATATTGAACACTACCATTTTTAGCCACTAGATGGCACACGAGTAGTATGGCATGCTGTTGTGTCATGTAATAGGTAAAAGTGGATATTAATGACACAATTGGCTTGCCATAGCCTGCCACCTTCATTCAGCTCGCTTGGAGTAACGGACAAATCAGTTTCATTTTGCAGAGCCGCCCCGGCGAAATGCAGCTAATTTGGCCAAAAGTTCAACTGAGACACACCTTTACAATAATTTTGAGCAAACAAATAATTGTTTTAAGTGTTAATCTGGTTAAATTCTTGTTAAAGTCCTCCCGTGCACGCTTCCACAGCTGCCATTTTGCAGCCAATCGATTTTTGGCACAACATCGGCACACATTCCCAGGTTGTCAGTAGTGACGCATAATAGATGTGACATATACGGCGAAGTGAAGTATTTATGGATTTTTCCACTTTATTAGACATATTTGAATTTATGCGA